TAGAACGTGACAAAGAACAAGAAAGTATGTGAGAAAAAAGCAAATACCGCCTCTGGAAGTTGGATTGCTGATCGAGGTAAGGAGAGAGAGCACTTGGCCTGTCAATTCACGCAGAAACACGAGGGTATCCAAGACAGATGGCGAATTCCTTGGCTTTGCAAATACAAGCCAACTCAACGGCGTTGCAGGTCTCCAAGATCAGCACTTGCCCTCATTATTGTTTTCTTTTCTTTTGCTCTTTTCAGGAAGGCGACATCACGTCCCCCAAAAACGTGCCTCGTCATCCCACGCCCAAGATGCAAGATACTACGATAAGGAAAGTCACGAGGAGGTCAAAGTGCTCGTATAGGCTTCCTCTCTTGCCAATGGGATCTTTTTATGACCTTGATCTGGGCTAGTACTCGTTAGTCATGAAGAAGGTGGGTTGCTGGTAGTGCCTTCACACACTTTACCTGCATGCATGAAAGGTGGTGGTGCCGTTTTGGATGGTGATTTAGTCCTGGTCTGGTCTGGTCTGGTGCTGCATGACGCCAGAAGGTGCAGCTGCAGCAGCCACAGCAGCTGTGCATAACCGACCACAAATGCGAAATGCGGCTGTGGCAGAGTTCATCCCCGGGGCTCGTCAAACCACAAGACCAATATGTATCCCACTACGTCAATGTCAACCGAGTTGTCGTGTTAGGACAGCCACAAGGCTAGAAAGTGACACCATTGGGAGGTAGTCACAATCATGTGCTCCCCTACGACCAGACCGCTCCGAGTCTACTCGGTACAGAGTCCTCGTTAGCATGTCGCCTACCCCCTGCCTCTCTGGTGGGTGGGTGTAACAAAAAGACCTGTCCCAATGGTATGGCACCAACGGCTTTTTCTAGCTTGGTGGCTGCAACACGAGATTTGTGCCGAAACACCCAGTCGAGATAGACCTTGCAGCTGCGCGCTCTCAGCGAAGAAGGCGTTAGCAAGTGCAGTAGCTGCAGATGTCGCCAGCCAAACGGAAATTTTGTATGTTCCAAGTAATATTGGGCCCCAAGACTTTTCCGAGCGGGCGCGCAGGCATCTTGCAGGATTGTGAAAAAGAGCAAGCGTTCTTTTTGTCAAGGCTTTGACACATCCACCATATCTGGCTGCGCAGTGGTCGACAATGAGGCTAGTGTGGAAGATGACTAGTGGTGGTCGAGGCTAAACATCAATAGATTGGGGCTCATCAAGGCAAGCAATGGCGGTCGTGGTGGCAGTGGTGGGCAGGGACAAGCGATCTTGACGTCCAACTTGAGCATTTCGGGGCAATGATCTGCACCTTGTCCGTTGATTTCCTTTGGCTGTGGATCAAGGCTCCAGGATCGAATCCAACGATCTCTTCGCACTGCAGCACGGAAGGCGGCCGAACTCTGAACAAAGCTCATTCTTCCATTCGCAGCCCGGCTGAACCTTGAGAAGGAAAAGAGTGGCCGTTGGATTCCCACCACGCTACTACGTATGTACGTGTCCCAAAAGGGACACAATGACATAGTCGCCATCGACGCAGAGGATTCAAGGGCGGTACGAGGACAGACAGCCATTGGGGGCGTTTGCTCTGTATTGTATTAAGCCAGATACATACAAAGTGAGTAGAGATGGACAACCAACCACTGTGTCAAATATCTCCAGCCACCAGCACCAAAGCCATCGCATTACACGTACAATTCTTGTGCCTCTTGAATAAATCCGAGCTTACCAGAACTTCCTACCTGCCGCTATTTCGGTAATCTAGCGAAATCCGCCTAACGGGGGTTGCTGGCAAGGGGGTCGGTCCCCTCCGTGGGTACCTATGACAAGTACCGGGTACTCTGAATGTAGAGCGATCCACAAAAATGGGATCATTTGGCTGCACCAGGATGCGCAAATTGAAATCCTGAAGCGGTGAACGGATTTCGTTTCGAGCGTCCAACCTGGGACTTTTTTGATTTTGGTCCCGGAACGTACGTGTGATATGCGAGCGAGATCCAGGGGGGAGGGGGGTGTCGGGAAAGGTGCTGATGCTCCCTTCAACCCTGGCACCCGGCCAAATGCTGTGATCGACGTGATCGTCCTAAGCGGACCATTTACCGGGACAGGGCCTGACAGGCTAACTCGAGGTTTGTTTGGAACCAGGCAGGCCAGGACAACTTTACTCTGTGCCTACCGTTTGGAGTAGGAGTACTTGGGGACAGAATACTAGAAGGCTAACCCTCGCCAGGCAACGTCACCCCGTACATACTGGCCGTAGTACATAAGTAGTCCAAGAAAGACGGACTGCGATTGGGGTTCTCAGAAACTTGGACCCCAAATCATTGAAGTGGCAGCCTGGCTATAATATCTTTTTTTTTATTTCCCTTTGATGAGGTTCGTGGGACTGTCACCCTACAAGTCGTAATCTATCCAATGCTTGCGCTTAGTTGCTACTCGTCCTTACCAGAGGTAGGCACCGCAGGCAGCCGAGATCGCAAGCCTCTGAACTAAAGAGTGGTGGTCCACGCTTCACCTGTTCGAGTGATGGGAAGGTGTTCCTCGTGATGTTCTCGAAATGAAAGTGGGAACTTTTGTCAGTGGTGAATTTGTTCCCTGATACTCCGTAGGTCGTAGATACCAGGTGCGGAGTACAACTAGGGGAAAGTAGGTACTCGTACCCGTACGGCCTTGTAGACCCTGTTTCAATTGCCCCCCAGGAACAAATTGGGGCAACTCGCACCTCCCAAAGCAGAATCATGGTTCGCATTGGGCAAGGATAGAGTCCTTGATGCCTGATCCCAGGCGAAATGCCACAGGAGCCGCGACCCAATTGGAAGTCATGGACATTTGGACAGGCAGAAAAAGGGCCCTAACTCGCCTTGCTCTCACCTCACGGTTGCACGCACACAGCGAATAATTTTGCTTCGGAAAGAAATCATGTACTCCGTACCTGACCTACGAACTTCCCACACCGTGCCATCTTCACTGGAAACAACCCAAAACTACAACGGGGGGATACAAGCCGACGTCGGGGACAAGATGAATGAGGCGACACTAGCGCGCTCTCTTTTCTCTGGTGGCTTTTCTCTCTCGTCATGCCTGACATGGCTGATGCATGGCAGACAGTGGCTTTTCTCACTCGTATTTTTTGTTTTTGGCCGCCTGTCCCGTATCTGGATGGCCAGGTCAACAACCCCCCTGGTCGAGTCGCAAACGTCAATTAACGGTCAATTTTTACCTACATCCCGAGAACCTACAAACGAGTACGTGACCTACCTACCAACCGAGAGTACCTACGAACGAAGTCTTCCCCCACTCTCCGCTTCGTCGCTCGCAGCACCATGAGTGGGAAAAAAACAAACCAAAAACCCAAAAAGAGCTGGACCACTCCAGATGTGAGGACACCCACCCTTTCCAAGTCATGGGGATCTCATCTCCAAGGGCTCTTTAAACCCATCCAGGAAAATAAAAGGTCCTGCAGGATTTCGTGAGAGTTTGTGGATCCCCCGACTTTCGCTGCCCCTGGGCTTGCCAGGGACACCAAGCGCGCCAGGCAAAAAGGGTGGCCCACGAAGCGGACGTTAGTTCATGACAAGAGCAAAAGCCTCCCAGAAGTCTAATCAGCCCGTTCAGCCCCACGCCATCTTGTTCTACGAGTCTCCGTGCCTCGTCGTTGGCACTAACTAACGAGAGTACTCCGTACACTACCCGGTACATGTAACTTGTACCTCGAACGTTCCCGCAGCGCCACATCACTTGCGTCGGCCCACCCACAAAGGCGCGCTATCACCCAGGTTGCTGCCCAGCGATGCCATCATCCCGCCTGCTGGGTCCCCCATCACGCGCTTGACAAGGCCATGCTCGAGAGCCATGAGCCTACCACCATGTACAGCTCGTCTGGAGCTAGCTAGCTTCCCTGCATCCCGGTGTCCCTAGACTAGGCTCGAATCTGTCTGAAATCCTCAATCACCCTGGTGGCTTCTTCCCTTCCCATCCCCCATCGGCTTCTCGCATGGTCGAAACCCGTCGGACGGCTCTGACCCACTCGCTCCCCTTCCCTGCTCACCGATGGATACCCAAGTCCCTCCTCGTCGGCGTTGGGCCTGAGCGTTCCTGCCTTGGAGGGAGAGGGGGAGAAGAAAGAGAGACGACACACTCAGATCGTGACGAGACAGACGGGCCTCAACGCTAGAAAGCCTGGAAGCATCTCGCTTTTCCAACACCATCAAATAATGCTACCCGCTTCCCCGTCCCAGAGAATTGCAGCGGTCCACTTCCTCTCTTCCCCCATCTCCCAAGTGCCTCTGCTTACTCTGCCCACTCCGACGATGAAATATTACGAGCTGACCTCAGGCTAGCCTGTCGAGACTATTTGTTCTCCCTTGCCCTTTCGCTCATCTAAATGCTTCTGGGGCTGCCTGGTCTCATTTGTGCTGGTTCTGCTTGTTTTTTTATTTTGCGAACGGACCTCTCAGGACCAGGGTTGCCGTTTGATGACTCTCATTTGCCGCTTCTATTGAACCCAGGAGACGAATTATCGGACGATCCTCACACAAGTCCATGGGAGGGGAGAGTGGGTTGCGCAAATGCTTGTGATCTTGGGATGCGCCATCTTTCTGTCCGGCTTCCTGGCCCTTGCGTGTGTTGTAACCTTGCTCTGACCCTCCCGGCGTGCCAGTGACTTTTCTAGAAGTACTCTTGTGAGTCTGGCTTCGCGCGAGCTTACCACTTAGTCCTTTTCCCCCTCCTCTGACTTGACCTTGCCCAGTGCCACCTACAAAGGTAGCTACGAGGCTTTCAATCTGGCTACCCTCGGCGTCACCATTTCCACCTTCCAGCACTATCCCAGGTCCCCTCCAAACTCGGGATACCTTCAGCAGCCCTGGGACTATCAGTCTCGCCAAACCAGTCCGACATCTCCCACAGGACCTCAGGATAGGTGGAGGAGGAGGGAAGGCGGAGGTGTGCCGCAGGAGGGTCATCCATGTTCGCGACAAGGGGACCAGCCGCACGAGGAGGCTCATAATAAGTACATGTCACCATCCCCTCGGTCGGCAGACACCACACCCACCACTGCCGGAGGACGAATTCCTCATCCTCAACCGTCTGGTGGAAGCGCAGAATCCTCGCGACCGAGCACCGCGAGTCTGGTTCGGACGGAGCCTTATGGCGGCTATGGTGGCATCGCTCCAGCCCGAGCTGTGCCGGACCTGGGTCTGGGAATCTCGTCTCGTCGACATTCGGCCGAGTCCAACGTCCAGACTCCGTCTCGAGCCTTGGGCGTCCACAGCATTCTAAACCCTGCGGCAGAGCTTGAAGACACATCCTCTCCCGATGTCCGATTCGCCCCTCAGCACGCCATGAGCCTCAGCCAAACTCTCGTAGCCGCGCCGACCGAGTCCCCGCGCAGTCGAAAACGCGCAGACCCAAGGTCACCTCCCCGAGAATTCGAGCCGGGTTCCGGACGCATGGGCAGGCGTGTGCTGACCCCGAAATCACCGGGTTTGCGGGCAGCGAGTTTGGGAACGAGAAGAAACCCGGCCTTTCACTCCTCTATCCAGCCGTTACCACCCCCAGCAGGCACCAGTAGCCGCCTCTACACAGCCGAACCAGGCCAGTACCAGACATCGGAGATTCCGCCCCTTCCTCCTCTATCACTTGCGACCGGTGCACCTTTGAGTGGCATTGTACCACCCGAAGCAGGACAGCCTCGCTCAGCACACGTCCAGGAAAGCCCTGTCGCCCGTGGAGCCGAGCCAGCATCCACCTCTCAGACTGAGCGATCTTCAACAGTGCAGCCTCCATATAGCAACATCGACCGTGGTTCGCCAGGGTATCGATATAGTGTGTCCAAGCCGCCACCTGCGCCTCAAGCACCCGGCCCATTCAGGGCTATCTCGGCGGGCGGTGGAGGATTGTACATTCATGAAGCACCAGGACACCACGGACTGCACGAGGGCTACCAGCAAGACCCGGCGTCGTATCAGATAACTCTGAACACCGACCAGGGCCCACTGAACATCCCCGTTGAGTTGGACCTGCAACAAGCGTCCAAGGTGGCAGACGAGAAGAGAAAGCGTAATGCCGGAGCTTCGGCACGCTTCCGCGCTCGCAGGAAGGAGAAAGAGAAGGAAGCTTCGCAGACCATTGCCGGCTTGCAGCAGGAGCTGCGGGATTTGATCGAAGAACGCGACCACTATCTGTCCGAGAGGAATTATTTTCGGGAGTTGGCCATGAGGTATGTGTCGGGAGCGCAGCTGTTACCACGACCAGAATCGCCTCAGCAGCGCAGAGTGGCGGGTGCGACGACTGGGGGCCCTCACGTATCGAGTGGTCTCTTGGAAACTCCCACCGTGTCTGACGACTCGTCGCGGGAACGCAACGAACCTGGGCCTTCGAGTCAACGCCGTCGAACGGGCGATTACCAGCCTAGTTTTACAGGACGACAGACACATTCACCACCTGCGCCGGGCTATGCCACAGCATTTTCGTCACAACCCTCTCTACCACTTCCTCCGCCTCCGGTCCCGAGCATGTTTGGAGCGTCCAGGGCGTTTCCACCTGGCCCGCCACCACCTCCTCCCGTCACCCGATCGCAGTCCTACGACCCCTTTCGGAGAGATCCGTTTGACAGGAGCTGGAACTCTGGCCGGTGAGAAAGGCGATTCTCGGCATCAAGTGATCCATTAAACCCCCCCTTTTTTCACCCTTCGAAATGACTATTCCTAGAGAGACGACAATGAGGGCGACCTCAGAAGCGACATCCCTTCACCGCCGTGGTGGGACATGATTACGAATGACCGAGATCAGAATGGGATATTGCGCTTGCCGTCACAAGGGCTTTACAGGCTTGCCCGTTTTCTTATTGCACAAATTGGACCAACACAATTTTTTTTGGCATCATTTCCTTGACTCATTGCTTTTGTTTTCACATCGGTCGTGGTGTTAAGACCTGCGAGATACCCGCCACACACATACACACTCATATTCCTTTTTTTTGTTTTGGATTAATATTTTCTTCTCTGTGGCGTTGGGGACCATTGGACAGAGATGAGGCAGACTATAGCAGTCCCAGACCACTGCAGGAGAAGGAAGCCAGAAAACTCCACCGGAAGACAGCAAAGGCTCTACGAGTATTTTTTTTTGGCCAACTTTTGAACCCACCATATCGCTGGTGAACTGTACTTTTGTATATTTATCCACGAGAGACGACCCCACGCTTCACAGACACACCCATTTGTTTAGATATTGTATTCACAGAGGGACACAGCGCAGTAGGCAGCTTGTGGTTCCAAATTCCCACCCATCCGCCGTGGATCAACCTATTGGGGAAATCCACCAGACTTTTTTGGCAGCCAATTTGCTCGAAAACGGCGACAGAGCTAGCCTTGACCAGTCATTCTCAGAAACCAGGATGACGCCTTTGTCGTGGTGGGCCATGACGGGCTGCCGCCGCTTTGATTCCCCGACCAAGGACCCGAGTTGCAGATTGACGGCATGACAGCAGGCATGACTGGTTCTCGACTGATGCGAGAGGTTGGTGCTTGCCTGGTGAGGCAACCTGGCTAACCCAGCAGTTGACGCCAAAGCATTTACGAAAGAGAGAGAGAGCACTTGCGAAGTAGATTTGACGGCCAATGACAATGTCTGAACAGGTGATTTCTGACGCAGATATTGGACCGGATCCGGAAAACAGCTTGTTTCGTGCACGACGATTGGTTGGCATGATTGACCATTTCTCTTTTAAAAGAGGACTTGACCGGGTTCTAGCTTGGCTTGGAGAGTGATGGCGCTCTCGTTTCTGCGCAACATCCACATTTCCACCTCGAACTCTGCAGGGAGTGAGAGGAGAAGAGAGGAGACGAGACGAAGAGGGGCCAGCAAACGCCATGCAATACCCATTTGTTTGTTATTGCTGACGGGTCCCGATCCTCGAGTATGCACGAGCAATTCTCGCAGCTCGCAGACAGGCTGACCACTCGAGTTGCTAGATGCCGATTGCCAGGATTCCCCCATGGCGCCAGCCGCCTCACCTTGTCTAGTCCTAGTTGTCCTTGCCCTTGTACGAGTTTGGCAATCAAGCGACGATCATCTCTTGATCCCCGAAGCTACTGACAAGCCAAGGTGTACAATACTCGTAGAGTTTGTTCCCCATGGATGCATGTATGTAGGTGTGTGCGCTTCGCCTCACGTTTGCGGTTGCGGCCGTTTCTAGCAGTGGCTGGCTGAAGCTGAACTGTGGGTCCTGACGACACGAGACGACACGAGATGACCACGAGGCTTATGTACATGTAACGGAGTATGTATGTACCTACTCGTAGGCACCTAAGGTAGGTATGTAGGTATGTAGGTAGCTTGTAACTTCTACCTAGGGTAGGGTAGTTAAAATGCACGAAAGATCGGGATACCCGAGCAAATACATCTCGATGGTTCTTGCATGGCGCGAGATCACAAGACTTGATTTTTGTACTCGCGGGAGCAGTGTCTAATAATAATACTGGACACGTTCATTCCAACCCAGCCGGTCAAGCACCTTTTTGTTACCACTCGTACGAGTTTCTTGTCCGGAGAAGTCCTCAAGTCTGCTCAATACCTATTACACATACGAGCACTCACCACACTCGTATTGGCTGCTTCACGAGTTGGGCGACAAACAACAAGGCAAGGGGGGGCCATGTTTCTCCGATTTTGATTTGATCCTTCCTCACCCAACCGACAAACCTAGGGGGGACGTTCGAGACTGGTTCGGCCCGGGATGGAGGGAGGATCGCGAATAAGAAGAAGGAGAAGACGAAGGAGAAGGTGATGGGAGAAAACACAAAGTCCTTGTGATGAAGCCGTGGAGCAAATCCCTGCGAGGGTAGGTAGGTGGGTGGGTAGGTAGGTAACACGACATCACGCGAAATGACGCGACCTGACACGACAGGGACAACGGACCGGGACGAAACAAGGAAGCAAAGAAGACAAGACGAAAAGGAAGGGAAATGAAAGCGGACCGTAAGAAAAACGAGGTACGAGGTACCTCTTACCTACCTACCTACTCGTAAGGTACTTCGATACTCGTGTGTCTGTCTGTGTGTATGTAGATAAGACGGACAAGATCCACGGCACGCTACGCATCCACTCCCAAACGTTCCTGGCAAGCTGCAAAGCGGCCCAAGCAATGCAAACAAGTCGACGCTACCGAGGACGCTACCGGCGCTACCGCTTAGAGGCTGCATTGCATTTGCAGCTGTCAAAAAAAAAAATCTACGAGGTACCGGACGTGACGAGGTGGTGCGGTGCATTGCATTGCATTGCATGACATGCCGCATTCCTGCAGAGCATGTTTCTGGTAGGCCCAGGCAGAGGAGCAGGAAGCAGGGAGCAGGGATCAGGGAGTCTGAGAGGGTGGGTTGGTGGTTCCCCGAGTTACAAACAACACGTGGTTGGTGGGTGATGATACCTACAAAATGATGATGGTGGTGGCATCGAACTTCTCCACCACTACCACCAATACTGGCCAGTCCCTGCGACCCAATGCTCCCAGTAATCACTCTGGTCTGCAAGCGACGGGTGGTGATGGGTGAGAGAGTGTTGATGTCACTTTGGCCCCCCTTTCCGCCCTCGCGAACAAGCAAACCAAACCAGACAGATGGAGCACCTGGTAACGGAGAGAGTTCAAAGAGGCGATCATTGCGGGGAGGCGAGGCAGGCGAATACAACCATCTCCCTGGTCAGAGCAAGCTGGTGGCTGAATCAGGAGGCAGAAGGCAAAGGCAGGTGATTTGCGTGATGGCATGCAGTCGAGCTGCAGGTGGCATTCCTGTACAAGTAGAGGTGGCGGCGATTGGGCTTTACAAGGTCTGGGAAAGGATCTCCTATTCTCTTCTTTCTTGACGAGTTCGTTACGTCCCGTCTCCGTCGTGCTAAGTCACTCGTAGTTCACCAGGCAGCAAGCATACCTTTGTTACTTGATGGTTTGCTGATTGCGTGCTTTCTGAACCACCCCCGCTCTCAAAACCCCTCGCTTCGCACCTACTGGGCAATAGCATGCTCGAGGTGACTTAGTCCTCATGCTTGGTTGGAGGTAACCTCACAACCTGGACCAATGTCCTTTGAGAGAAAGAGGGGGGTGGGAAAGCAACACGCTCGAGAGACAGGGGAGGGGTGTGGGCAAAGAACAAGAACAAAAAAAGCCACGACATCAGATCATCTGCAAGGGGACGGGGGGAAATCAACACGTGGCTTGCAGGGACGGGTTGGGTACCTATGTACGCAAAAGTTTATGGGCTTTAAAATCCAATCCGACCGTTCCTTCGGACAATTCTTTTGTTGCAGCTAGATCCAAAAAGGGCAACTGACTGACTAGGAGCTTGACAGGGTATCTGCCCTGGTTCTTGGGGTTGGTATCCTTGTGACCTCCCTGCCTTCCCCCCCGTGCCTCGCCCGTCTTGGCTTCCGTCTCGTAACTTGTGCTCTTGTCCAAACGATCCCATATCTCTTCTGCCTTGGTCACACCCTTCTTCACAGTCGACTCGTGCATTAGACGCTGCGCTATCGTCGAGAAGAGCAGTTGTTCCGGTGCGTGCAACAAACGGCCCCGACAGCCTGACAAGGCCCGATGCCCTCATCCGGCAGTCGAGTCTCTTTCTCCTCCCATCCTGCGCATCTGTTCCCGAACCATGATTTCACAACAAAGATCCGCTTCGAGGGTACCTCGTAGGGTAGGGCCGGCAGTCACGCGACATCGGGCCGAAAGGAAAAGGGGGTTGCTGCTGTCAGGTAGGACAAGTGCCGATTGAAGGAGTATCAACGTTTTGTTGGATCGAATCACCGACCGGTGGGAAAGAGGTGCGAGGAAGCGGAATGCTTATTCAGGCTATCAAAGTAACTCCGGACTCCGCGGGGTTTGACGTCCGTGTCCATGGTTGCTGAAAGCCTGAGGCCGAAGTGTCCTCGTAGGATGTCGCCGTTGCTACGTGCCAAACAGCATCAGCAATGCGAAAGCAGGCTGAGCTCTGTCTCTGTCGTCATATGAAAGGAGAACTTGGAGGTACTGGAGGAGGATTGGCAGTCTGTCGAGCTTCGTGATCACATCCACTATCAACTTTCTTAGTTCATTGCCGTCGAGGGGTTTCTAAAGACGATGAATGATAGAAACTAACGCTGTCAAAGGGAGATTGATTGTTGTGTTTCTGAATAGACACTTATCAAACATGGCAAATGTATTGGTGCTTCCCTTTGTTCTCACTTTGTTCTTCCTTTGCTCTCGATCACCGGTGACACCAGCAAGCAACCTGATTGGGCTGGATCTGCTTGGCTTGGCGCGATCAAACTACGCGACGACGCGTTTATCCATGGCCTTTTCTTTCTCTTCATCATTAACTTACATTTCAGATCTCTGTCTGGTTGGACTTCAGTTGTCTCCACAACCACTGTCTTCTCCTTCTTTCCTGTGCCTCGGCTAAATATCTAAATCGGCGTGTGCACAGTCCCTCTACTCGGTTCACGGACTTTTTGCCATATCTCTGTAGAATTTAAGCATCATGCCTCCCAGGAAGCGCAAAGTCTCGTCGACGGCCAGCACCCCGGCTACCAAGAAAGTCCGCATCGGCGGCACATCTGAGATCTCCGACCACCCCGCAGCTGCGCCGGCTGGTCGCCCCAAGCGGTC